GAGCGTCAGGGGCTTCCGGTGTTCCTTGCACATTCTCTCCCTTCCCGAGCTGTTATTCTTCGGCTGCAAGGTGAGTTGCTTAGCTGTTTCTACAATATTCCCCAGTTGTCTGTTTGGTTTGAGATTTGTCCAGGAAAACAAATGTCTGCATTCCGGGCAGCAGGCACTGCAACTAGATCCTTTGCAATATTTGGTGATGCAGTTTCGGCAGAAATTGTGCCCACATTCTATGATCATCACAGGATCCTGAAAGAAGTCCAGACAGATGGAACAAGTAAATTCATCCAGAAGGTTTTTTGCTGGATTGGCTGCAGCCATGATGCTTTCTGTGGGCTGGAAGTAAGATGAGTTTCACTTTCCTGTTATCAGAAAGGGGTGGTTCCTTGTGTGTGTGTTTTTTCTCCCAGCTCTCAGATTTCTAGGCCACGTTTGCAATAATTAAAGGTACAAGAACAGGTAGACTCCCTGTCTAACATGCATGGCTAAGATGATAAACAGGGAGCTGCTGAAGGAATTGTTAAGAGACTTCTGACTCTTATTAATAGATTCTAAATTAACTCAGAAATAAACAGGAGTCTATTAACATTTCACTGATTGACAATTTAACAACAACAAAAACATAAAACACTCGCATTTTGTGAGCTGGAGCCCTCTCCTTCAGATGCAAAGAGTGGATCCTTACTGTGCTATCATTTTATATAGATGGTTGTCCAGCGGTGGAGGTTGTGCCACTGCTGCATTCATCTGCTCCAGAAGACACACCGGCAGGGGGTAGACTTGCCTAGCCACTGCTGGGGGACAGAGAGTTCTGCCGGGGGAGGGGTTGTGGCTCAGTGGCAGAGCATCTGCTTGGCATGCAGAAGGTCCCAGGTTCAATCCCTGACATCTCCGGTTAAAAGGACCAGGCAGTGGGTGATGTGAAAAACCTCTGCCTGAGACCCTGGAGAGCCACTGCCAGTCTGAGTAGACAATACTGACTTTGATGGACCAGTGGTCTGGTTCAGTCTAAGGCAGCTTCATATGTTATCATATGTGAAGGAAGCAAGGATGAGGCCTCCTCACCAATGCTCCCTCTAAGCTACGGAGTCTTGTGAGCAACAATTCTACTTTGTGAGCTACTGGCATTAAAGTTGTGAGCAAGCCATTTGGCTGCTGCATCAATTAGTTTGCTCTGGAGCCATCCTTCCTGAGCGAAGACAAAAATGTGTGAGCCAGAGGCTAAAAAACTGTGAGCTAGCTCACACTAACTCAGCTTAGAGGGAACACTGCTCCTCACCCAGAAATGCCCCAGTATTAGCAGCCTGGGAACAGGCCAGAGGAGAGACCAGCAGACATTAGGGTCTCCTATAGCTTGTGTAGGCAGGCAAGACAGCTTTCTAAAACCTCAGGGGAGGGAGGAGCCACTGGCCCAGATCTCCTTCACTCACCAGGGGCCCACTTGTGACGAGAGGGCATTGGAGAAAGCTGGAGGTCAGCCCACCCCCAGGAAATCCTTCATTGGGCTGGCACATGGAAGTCCAGGGAGAAAGTGCCAGACCAATTCCAAGATGGCACAGGAAAGGCAACAGGGAGGGAGATCAGGGTAAAGGCATAATCCTCATCCTCCTCACCCTACTGTAGGGTTGCCAGGTCCCCTCTGGTCACTGATGGGGGATGGGGGGTAGTTTCCAGATCCAGGTTGGGAAACTCCTGGAGATTTGGGGATGGAGCCTGGAGAGGACAGGGGCCTCAATGGGGTACAGTGCCATAAAGTCCACCCTCCTAAGCATCCATTTTCTCCAGGGGAACTGATCTCTGTAGTCTGAAGATATAATTCTGGGGGCTCCCCAGATCCCACCTGGAGGCTAGCATCCCTAATTCTGAGGCTTTTCCTGCGGGAGTCCTATAAAAAGGAGAACACTGGATGATGCTACAGCCCTGGACTCCATCCCAGCCCAGATGGCGCCTGATAGAGGCATGAAAAAAAATATGAGGGTAAATAGGCTGTGAAATGGAAGAAGTACAGAGTGCAATGTACTTATGTCAAATTTAGCTCTAATTAGGAGAAGTACAAGGACCATTCACAAGTTTTGCAAAGCTAGTCAACATCTGCATTGGCAAAAACTGGGACTCCCCATCCTTTACAGGCATTACCTAGTTTAATAAATCCAGGGAATGGTTTCTGTACTTAAATTGGATTAGATTCCTCATAATTACGAGTCACCCTGTACTATCTGCATTCATAGCCTCTTGAGTCTGCTGTGTAATTTTCTTCATACCTCCTGCATCAGGGTCTTTCAGCCTTGAGGAACCTGTGGGCACTTTTGGAATTTTGAGAACAAGTAACATGGCAGCAATCATCAAAGGGCTGCCACAAGGATAGAGCCCAATCACAAAAAAAGACATATTATGAGGGGAGGCAGCTGTTTCCAAATGCGTGCTTCAGTCAGACACAGAGGTGATGCCTACTGGACTTGCCTGAAGCACCTCCAATTTCAACTGAGCAAAGACGGAACTGGCTCTCTGATTTTGGGAAGGCACATCAGCTCCAGGAAACACATCGATTGGTGCTGTGGCACCCATGGATGCCACACTGGGGATCATAGTCCTACATAAAAGGATTTTGCCCATGTGTTGGTAATCTTTTGGCTGGATTACTGCTGTGAGAACTACATGGGGCTACCCTTAAAGACTGTCTGGAAATGGCACTCAGGAGCAGGTGCCTAACTGTGAACCAGGAAAAGCCAGAGATATCTGGGGGTAAAGACACTTCACTTCCTATTGATTAATGGCCAGATTCCAGTTGCTGGTCTTGAAATATCTTGGACCATGAGGGCAGAACAGCTCTGAGAATCAGATCTGGCAGGGCCAGAAGGGAGCTACTACGATACAATCTGTCCATTCGGTCACCATTTTCCCTATAACCTTGTTTAGGGAATGCATAAAAGAGTGTGCCTGACCAAGGGATCTGGAATGCTTGTCTCAGGGAAGTTGGGCCGCTGCCCACTAGGGAGCAGAATTCTGGTGCTTTCTTGGGCTCGGCTGTGGCAAACAGGTGTCGAAAATCATCTTGATGTATCCATGTTGGATAGACCATGTGTACTTGGTCGGATAGACCCTGCTACGGATATCTGATTATGTATTCAAAGTCAAAGTCCCTGCTGTGTGGATAACCTTGGGAAGGGCTCCAATGCTCATAGCCATTTCCCAAGCTTCTATTGCCTCTAAGCAAAGCCTTTGGGAACCCATTGCCTCCTTGTTGAAATAATAAATTGTTGAGGTGTTATCCATTTGGATCAGCACTCTCTTGCCTCAGAATATCTGAAAAGGAGGTAAGAGCAAATCTTAATGCACAGGTCCAGGACATTAATATGGAGAGTATTCTGCACTAAAGTCCACTGACCTTGCACTAAAACCCCTTGCAGTGGGCACCCCAACCTGATAACAAAGCATCCATGGTCAGAGTGACCTGGGGAACGAAGAACCCAAACTGGATCCCTGAAAACAAGCTAGCGTCATCTGGCCAGCAATGCAGAGATCTAACCACCACCCTAGGTATCGAAAAACAACATCTTGGGGGATGTTAGTTAAGGTTCTACTTCTTAACAAACCAGATCTGCAAGACCCACATGTGCAGTCCTGCTAACAGAATCACTGCAGTGGTCAAGGCCATAAGCCCTAATAACCGCTGAATTGCCTTCACTGACTGCTGACGTTTTCTAATACAGCTGAACACCACTGCCTTAATGCTTTTAGCCCCATCTGCAGGTAAAAAAAGCTCTCCCTCTGGTAGCATCAAGGGAGGCACTAATGAATTATACGCATTGAGAAGGTTCAAGGTGAGACTTTTCCCAGTTCACCATTAGGCCTAACCTGTTGCAGGTTGTCAAAGAGAGCCCCCTGCCTGCCCAACCCCAAGGCTAAGAGTTCTCTTCGCCAAGAGGCTAGCTAGCTACATTTACAAAGGGGTTAAAGGCACCTGTATTACCTTTAACCAGGTAGTGCTACCACCAGTCCCTTTACATCCCTCCAATCCAGAGCCAAAGAACACACTCTAGACCTTACTGGACTCAACTAGAGAATCCTCCCTGCGAGATTGGCTCACAGCAGGAGACCCACAGGTTATTCTAGAGGTAGTAACCGACAGTCTTGGGCACCAGATAACTTATTGCAGCAGTGGAGACAGAAACCAGAATTGGTGAATAAAATATTTTTAAGTGCAGAGTGTAATTAATAAAACATGCAAAGTTACTTAAAATAATATTGTGGGGAGTAAAACAAGAAAGCTAAAGATTAACACACTAAACACAGAACCTTGTTTCTCAAAGTTACCCATTCAGTTCTGGGTCCAGATGTACTCCGTCTCCAGAGTCCCAACAGCCAAGCTGGTTGGCTTCAGCAATCAGAGCTTCCAAGATGGCCAAAAGGTGAGCAAGGCAGTTACATGTCAGCCTCACATGCAACACCATCATGCCCCCTGAATAGGAGTTAAGGTAACTTATTTATTGTCTGAACCCCAGACTGGTTGCTAGGCCTGGGCACCAATCAGGGTCCAAGCAATGTCTTCCAGATACATGGAGGCCAATCAAGGAAAGGGTGATAGCATTGGTTTCTGACTGGCCTCTGGTCATGTCAGAAGAGCAGGCAATGTGATCTGCAGTTTCACAGCACCAGTCCGTTCCCACAGGATTTAATTGCTTTGGAATGTTAATGAGCCAAGGCCGCAGAAGAACATCTTATCTTCCAGGTGCAGAGATAGACACTCTTCCCCAGCACGTCTATGTGCACTAAGGAGACTTAAGAACAACATTTTTAACAAGAGCAGGCCGCAGCCAGATTGAACCAGACTTTTAAAGCAGACTCCATTTTGAATGAACCAAAGTTCATCTTGACACAGGTGGAAATAGTGAGGTGAACATAGTCATTCAGTAGGTCACAACTGTGGGCCACAATAAACCAGTAGTCCAGGCACAAAAAAATAGAGCAGCCCTGAGTGTGCAGGTGCACCACCACTACAGCTATACACTTGGTGAATACTATCAATGCAGTAGCAAGGCCGAATGGAAGGAATGTGTACTGGAACACCTCTGAGCCTGTCTGAACCATAAATACTTCCTATGAGATTGGTGGATTGAAATATGAAAATAGGTGCCCCTTAAGGACCACGAACCAAACAGCCCGGGTATGAAACACAATCACGGAAGAAAGCGGGACCAATTTTTAAGAACTTGTTTAATTTCCTGAGACCTAGTATGGGTCTGTGCAGGGCTCTTTTTGTAGAAAAAGTCCAGCAGGAACTCATTAGCATAATAGGCCACACCAAACAGCAGAAACTTATTAGCATATTAGGCCACACCTTGACAGCACAGCTCATTAGCATATTAGGCCACACCCCCATGTCACCAGAAGTGTGGTCATCCAGCCACACCCACCTTTCCCTTCTTATTCTGTTTACCTTGTTTGTTGTCAAAACCCAGGGCTTTTTTTGTAGCAGGAACTCCTTTGCATGTTAGGCCACACACCCCTAATGTAGCCAATCCTAATAAGTTTCTGCTGTCGGTTGTGGCCTATTATGCTAATGAGTTCCTGCTGGGTGTGGCCAACTCAGGAGCCAGCCGGAACTCCGTTCCTGTGCGTCCCCGCCCCAAAATAGCCCTGGGTCTGTGCCCACCACCTTTTTTATCCACTAGGAAAAATCTTGAATGGAAACCCCGGGAATGAAGCCTGCCTGGGACTTGTTCTGCCGCACCCTTCCACAGAAGTCCCCTTAACTGAACTCTTGAATTCCGGGTAGGAGTTATCCACTGCAGTCGGAAGCCAGGTGGCAAGGGGGCTGGGTACACCAATTCTAACCTGTCACTTTCCTGAACTATAGACAAAACCCAGCTATCAGAACTAATCTGGCACCAAGCTCATCCTTAAAACTATGGACATCTGCAATTAAATAGGATGACAACATGTAGTAAGAATGCTGGGGGAGGAAGCACTGATTGCCATGATAAGGAACAGGGTGCGCAGGGGGACCAGGATGATGTCCTGATCAGTCTCCATACCCTTAGAAGACTTGACACGTCCTAATTTGGATGCATACTAGGTCTTCTCCTTATGCTTTTTTATGGTTCTTCACAGGAGGTTCTCAGTACAGCTGGACCTTGGTTGATGGTCCTGGAGAAGGTGAATGTGAGCACCCAGATTCCGCCTCTGGAGTGACCAAAGAGGCTCTTTTTTGAGGGATCAGAGCCATCCTGATAGTTGGGCCCGTAGGAGCCAAACAGGAGAGGAGGAGGAGGAGAGGAGATTGGATTTATATCCCGCCCTTCACTACCCAAGGGAGTCTCAGAGCGACTTACAAACTCCTTTCCCTTCCCCTCCCCACAACAGACACCCTGTGAGGTGGGTGGGGCTGAGAGAACTCTGACACAAACTGCTCTTTTTCAAGAACAGCTGTGCCAGAACTATGGCTTGCCCAAGGTCATCCAGCAGGTGCAAGTGGAAGAGTGGGGAATCAAACCCGGTTCTCCCAGATTAGAATTCATGCACAGACCAATGGAAGCCCGGAACAGGGTTCAGTAGTTGGAGCCAAGGGAAGTGGACCCGAGGTAGGAGGGCCCGAGCTCGGTGTCACCTTGGAAGGAACTGAGGACAAAGCCTTCTCCCACAGTGCAGCTTTTAGCCTAGAGGCCTTATCTGACCAAGTCTTAGGACGGCAAATTGAACAAACATTGTGGGCTTCTCCTAAGCACAGAAGGCAGAGTTCATGCTCGTGGCTGTGCATCATTTTTTACATTTTTTAAACAGTGCCTTGGATGCCATGATAAGGGACTACAAGCACAACAAACAGAGCCAGCCCGGGCAAGAAGATAGGGCTTGCCTCCCATGAAATAGACTCCTGAAGGTTGCAAAACAAGTCCTTGATGGACAAAAAGGAGTCTTCTTTCCACCACAATGACAACAAAGAAATATACAGAGCGCACTAGAAAGCTTCCTGTCCTTGTGGCGATGAAAAAGGAACTGAGGGAAGGGGGTGCCTGCGGATAGAGCACATGACACGCTGGGTGGGAATCGCATACATGTCAGCTCCAAAAGGGGCAGGGCACTCTCTCTTTGGAGTTTTTAAGCTAGAAAGAAAATGTCCCTCCGCCAGCCTGCACAAGTGCAGTCCCAATGTGGGGCTGCATGGGAAGACTGAAGATGAACTTCAGTGCAAACCAAAACTTCACACACCAGTTGAGATTTTCAGTTTGAGGTGTAGATTAGTTCAATGGTGAAATGAATTTAGTTTAAAATAGATTTTGATGCTGGCTGCTTGAAAGCTCAAGTTGTGACCAAAGCTACAGCTTTAGGAGAATATCCTGTCAGGACTGTATCGTGTGTGGTTTCTCTATTTGAAACAACTATGAGTTGAGTTACAGTGACATTAAACAACAGGTGTAAGAATAAAAGAGTGGAGAAGTAGAAAAAGTACATGAGGCTACATTTTCAGTAAGTAATACAATGATTATATAAGAAGATTCTGGTGCAGCAGACTATAATAAATGCAAAGCCATTTGAATAAATGTGTTGAGTGTGCACTTTGAGCTTCTAATATTTTCCATTTTTTTCCGGCAATCTAGGGCATACCTCACATCCTAGTCTGCAGTATCCCAAAATGCTGGTTAATAATTAGACTGGATTATTTTAGAATTGAATACATTTAGGTTGTATTAGAATGTGCATTAGAACGTACATTAACCACAAGATGATTCCTTATCATTCGAAGATTAGGTACCGTCTGATATTTTATTAACACAAAAAGGCAAGGATCATGAGAAAATGCATGTTCAAAAGCGAGCCACATTTTTACAGAAAATTACATTTCTATCAGCAATTAACAAGGGTTTTAAAGTTTAATTTACAAAACAAAGAGAGCACAACTACTCTGGCCTTCATGAAGGGGTTTATTTAGGATTGCACTGTGAGCTTCCTGATTTAAAGGATTAAACCTCTGTTCTGGCGAAAGGAAAGCAAGATCTCACCAGTGTTTAGCTGTAAATTTCCTACCATAGAGAATCAAGTCTGAGAATGGGCTGCCAAATTCTGGATCTTTTTCTTTTTCTAAGCCGGTGAAACTCATAGGTTTAGAACATTAAGGGCTAAACCACAATAATTACCCCCAAATAAACCATAGCTGCTTTGTGTATTGCCTCACAACTGTCTCATGGGCTCTCATGTATACCCCAAAGGTGAAAAAAGTCCTAACATTACAGTTCAGTGACCATCCAAGCTGGATGGATAACTTGTGTTAAGTTTTTTTGCAGTAAAAACCATCAGGAGTCTTGTGGCACCTTGAAGATGAACACATATTATTCTAGCACAAATGTTTGTGGACTAGTATCAGATAATTCCATCCCTGATTTCACCAGCATCTGAATTTAAAACAAACGAAGCCTGCATACAAGTTTCTGCGCAGCTTGATCCCCCATAGAACTACTGTATGGATATATTAAGTATCAGCTACTCTCGACCACGGTAGAACACTAGGACATTTTTTAAGAACACAACTCCAGAACTGTAGATGAATCAACAATCCGGAAAAAAGGGAAAATTTTCTCCCCTTCAAAATTAACTGAATGGAAAATGAAGAGGCAGGTATCATCCTCATCGGGATCGTAAAAAGCAACTGTCCCCTCTTCATAGTTCAAAGAAACCTTGATCCGTATGGGCTGCTCATATGCTACATCCAGCAGAGTAGGAGGCGAAGTGAGAGCTTTATACTGATCACTGTAAAGCCCAATCGCCCAGATGCCTTCATCAGGTTCAAGATCAATTTCCACCCCCCGCTCCACAGATCCTCTGGCCACTCCCACAGCCCAATGATCTCCACTCCCTACATCCACAGTCCAATAATGTTTTCCTGAAGTGAATCCCTTACAACCAAGAACACAGCGAATATATTCAAATCTCTTCGGGTTGTAGGGGAATTCCTGACGGACGACCCCCCATCTTACTCTTTTCCAGTCTTCAGATACAACATAACGGGGATGGGCTGTTTCTGGATCCAGCAACACGTTTTCTGAAACAGAATAAGCATAATGATCAAGCAGCATCCAAGAATGGTTGTCCAAACCTTTCAGCTGAACCAATCACTTTATCAAGTCAGGGATCAACTTTTCAAGTTATATCTGAAAGAAAGGAGGAACGAGGACAGGTTAAATTAACATCATCCAATGTAAATATGGAGGTTCAAATGGAAGAGGAGACAGTCTTATCCTGAGCTCATGGGCTGAAGAAAGGGACAACAATGTAAGTGGGAGATAATAATTATGCACACAGTGTAATATAGACAGAAAGAAACATGCTCCTGATAGTGTGCAGAGCGGTTACACTATTAATCTGCTAATCAAACCGAGTATTTTTATTCACTTCAGTTTGCACCAAATAGCAAGCAGTGTTTGCTTGGGCTTCTTGCTGGTAGCTTCCATCTCTAAGAAAATCTGGCTGGATGGCTTCCAAACTGCTGCCTTAGTTTTACTCATTTCCTTGAGTGTTACCTGGGTACTTTTACTGATATTTACTGATCTGCTTTAAATGCCTTTTTTATTTTTCATTTGGACACTATTTTGGTATCATTTGATGGCAAAGAATGCAGCTTAAAGCTGGCCAGATAAGTAGCTACTTCACTATTCCTGGCCTGGATAGGGTACATGGAAACCCTGCCCCTCCGTTTTAACCTCACAACATGCCTATGGCATAGATCTGAGGGATGAGGGAAAAGTGACCGGCCCAAGGTCATCCAGCAAGATTCATGGCAGAATGGGGATCTGAAACCAGGACCCCTGAGGTCTAAGCCCAGCACTTTAACCACTACATAACACTGTTATGTCTAGTTTGGCCCTGTATTTCATGTGATATGGGATTTCCTTGAGAATTGAATCTCAGATGATCACCGACTAGAAGTGTGTGAACAGAAATCTGTGCTGTGGATGCAAAATGTTCCTTAGGGATTTGCGTCTGAAATATAGGTATTCTAATGCCATAGGCCCTGGGGACAGACACTTACCTTTGATCCATGTTGGTTTCAGTGGGGTCTCTACAATGGAAGGAAAAAGGTAATGTTTCCACTGTACAGTAGCAGAACAGATTTCAGTCTGTATACATGTTTATTAATACCGTAATTTTGATATGTTGTTCCGGAGTCTTAAATGAACAAAATAACCCTACAATTGGTATTGACTATTATTCTATGTTTAAGCAAGGATAGTTATGTATAGTGGTCGATCTATGAGCTGTATAATAAAATCTACTTTTTGAAACCAGAGAATGGAAATGGGACTACGTTTCCTCCAGTGTTGGTCTCCCTTGCACTGTTTGGGAAAAGTAAACACTAGACTCTTGGGAAAGGTAACAAACAATGGACATGTTAGGTATTCCCTTTTATCTATACTCGGGATGCAGAAAATTTAGCAAACAGGGTTAGCGCTAACTACCTAAGGGAATAAGAGGCACCTTCAATATGAGGTGAAAAAGTATGATCCCTTCTTGATGCATCTTTCTTTTGGGGTTCCATATAACATGAGAGGGTATTCATGTGTCTCCCCTGCCCCTAGAGATGAGCTACACCCACATTAGGAAAAACAGGTTAACCTTCCAATATACCAAAGAAAAAGGAGTGGTGGTGGTAGAAAGTACCATCAAGTAGGGTTTTCAAGGCAAGAGATGTTCAGAGGTGGTTTGCCATTGCCTGCCACCGCATCACGCCCCTGGTATTTCTTGGAGGTCTCCCATCCAAATATTAGCCAGGGCCTCTCCAGCTTAGCTTTTGAGATCTGGCAAAATCAGGCCAGCCTGGACTATCCAGGACTGGGCCAAACAGAGTACTCAAGTATGAAAGGTGACAGTGGAACAATTTTCAATATGTCCAACTGAAACCCTGTCAAGAGCAGGGCTATTTTTGGGCAGGAATGCACAGGAACGGAGTTCCAGCTGGCTCCTGAGTTGGCCACGCCCAGCAGGAACTCATTAGCATAATAGGCCACACCTAACAGCAGACACTCATTAGGATTGGCTACATTAGGGGTGTGTGGCCTAACATGCAAAGAAGCCCAGGGTTTTGACAACAAAGTAAACAGAATAAGAAGCAAAAGGTGGGTGTGGTTGGATGACCACATTTCTGGTAACATGTGGGTGTGGCCTAATATGCTAATGAGCTGTGCTGTCAGGGGTGTTGCCTAATATGCTAATGTGTTTCTGCTGTTGGGTGTGGCCTAATATGCTAATGAGTTCCTGTTGGGCTTTTTCTACAAAAAAAGCCCTGGTCAAGAGAATGAGCTGTCTTCGAGTAAAAGTCCATCTGCAAGAATTTCCCCCCGGTTTTCAGTTCAGTGAATACAATTGTCAGCCACTGGTGAAAGCAGCCCTCCCTGCACTGACTGTTACTAGCTCAAGGCCATTTTGTAGGCATCCCCCTGCTAATCAGTTCACTGTTCACAGCTGTAAGAGTTGGGAGGGGAAAGTTTCGCTCATCTTCCACAAAGCTCTCTTGGGCCAATGGCCTGATTGGTTATAGGAGTCAGCAGATCAGTGGCCTCAGTTTCCTGTATATGTAGACTAGCCTTTCCTTCAGTACCTGTGCTTGTACCTCTGCTGGGTTACCTTGTCATTACATTTTTTGTACATTTTGCTGCTTGACTCTGAATTGCATCTGCCAATGCTTCAAGAACTTAACATCTATGCTGTAAGAACATTCAGTAAGTGTATCTAGGAAATTTGCTTCATTGTTTTTATGTGCTTTGAACCCTCACCGGAACTGTATTGTTTTTAAACCTTTTCATTTTTTTTATAATAAAGCTTATTTAGCTTTACAGTGTTCTGTTGCTGTGACTTAACATAACCAAGATTACCCTGGAACAGGACCAGTTATCAAAGGAGGGTCTTGTTCTAGGGTCTTTGGTTTGAGATAGGGGAACAATTCACTCAGAACAAGACAGGGCAGTCTTAACACATACTCCCCCACAAAAAGAAATTGTAATGAAGACTGCATGAGCAGGGGAACAACCACATTACATCCAATATCTCATTATTCAATGTATCAACATGAAAACAATACATCAAAGACTATAAGCAGAAAGGCATCAGTAAACTTCTACCATAAAACCATAAATAGAAGGAACAGAAAAATGGAATGACATCTGCTAGCAAGTCATTTCGATGTACAGGCTTGCTTAGATCCAGTATGTATTTCTTTTCTTTTTTTCTGTCTCCTCTTTGTTACCAAATCTAAAGTTTGAAAAACTCTTTAATATCAGACCACCGGAAACTACAGGACTGTGAATATTCAATTCCAGCTCAGACCTTGAACTTCTAGAAAGGAAGTGTGGAACCCAGCATTCAGTCACGTATTTTCTGTTGGTCTAATGATGAAAAGTATTATCTCTCGGGCTTCCGGTCTGGTCTCTGTGAATGGCGGTCACAACTCTGGGAAGCTCCTGGAGGTGATTCGCCCACGCACGGCTAAGGGGGGAATCCGCACAAGCGGAGACCCTAAGGAGCCTCAGGAAGGGGTTCCGATCCGGGGTGCTCAGGGGATGTGCCTCTTTCCCGGCCCGATGGTTGGAAATTGAGGCTCGCCCCATGCCCCAATGGCCCTTGCCACGGCAGTGCCCCACACGGGGACTAGCAGAGCCGCCGGACGTCACGGAGTGATGAAGCGAGGAAGTGAAAGCAGACAGAAAGAGACAAGCGGCTGTGAGTTGGAGATCGAATTACAAGCTATTGGCGAAAGCACATTCCGTTCCCCGGGAAACCCAGAGGGAGGAGGGAGGATTCCCCCCCCCACTCGAGAGACTTTTTTGAAAGCAGAAAGGGGGGGCGAAGGGAAGTTTGGGAAAAGTAAATTACCTTTTGGGAGAGGGCTGAAAACGGAGTAGGGAGTGATCCCTCTGCTGCGCAGCACGAACTTTTAAAAAGTAAACAAAAACTGAAAATGGCGGGGCCGAAAAAGTTTTTGGAGAGGCAGACAAAGAAGACGGGAGGAACTTCCAGTCTTAGCCCTTCCCCTGCAGGGGCTGCTGTCAATCAGCAAGAAGGTGAGATGCTCCGCCCTCTGCTAGATGAACTGCAGAAAATTAACCAAAAACTGGATAGCATGGAAAGTGCCTATAGTATTCAACAGAAGCAAATGACAGAGACAGCCAATAAGGTGGATAAGATTGCAAAGAAATGCCTGGTATCAACGGAAGAAATACAGAAAGT